CCCGCCAAAATTTTTTTCGGGTAAATTCATAACTCGGGTATCTGAGAAGCTAGAACGCTGAAATCTTGAGAGAATGTTTCCCGTCCAAGTAGGTATTAGTTAGCTCAAACCCAGCCCCGGGTAAGCGTGATATCCGCATACGAGACCGCCAAAATTTTTTTCGGGCAAGCTCATAACTCGAGTACCTCAGAAGCTAAAGGACTGTAATTTTAGGAGAATATACCCCGTCAACCTAAGTTTCATTCAGCTCAAACCTAACTCTCGGCAATGCGTGTTAAACTCGCACGGGGCCATGAAAATTTTTTTCCATTAACTTGCTAACTCAGGAGCCAGGGAAGCTGGAAAGCTGAAATTTCAAGAGGGGTGTTTTCTGACAGTTCTGACGACTATAAGCATTTGCTGAAAAAGCCGGTGCCGGTAGCAACAAAAACTTTGGGGAACTATGCAAAAACCGTATCTTCGCACGGGCAGCCCGTGCGTTGACCAATTATTGTAATTGCCCTATTTTGGCGTTGCTTCTGTGAATGCGCGCTTCTCTGCATTGAGGTGCATTCGTCGCTGTTCTTGTTCAGGTGTTCCTGTGATGGCGTTCACGTTTGCTGCGTTCTGCTATCTGTTTGCTCTGATCGCCGTTGCATTCTGCGTCTTCTTCGCCATATTCACGGTTAGTCTGAAAGTTTCATTTTTGGCAGCGTTCGGTTGGTGTTACATGTTCAGGTAAGTTCCTTGCTGCTGGTTTGCTCTGTTATCACACACACACACACACACACACATGCTGCGCGATGCCTATTTCCAGTCACAGATTGGCGAGAGGCGTGCTGGCAGGTCCCCCTGCTTCTCGCTGGGCCGTTGGAGGTGTCTGTGTGTAAAAAAGTGATGGGGCGCAGGAATCCAAGTGAACACGAATTAGTGAAATTTCCCGAACAGATGCGTAATTCACTTGAAAGACTGAGTAACATGTCCTGTCGTAATCGGTTTTTGGGGCCGTTGCATCGCCAGTCCATCCATCACAGCCACATTCCGATGCTGCAACAGCGCATAGAACGCATGTTGGCAAGGCAATGTATGTACATGTGTGTATGCGCGTGTGTGTGCGTGTCTGTGTGCGTGCGTGTGTGTGCGTATGTTTGTGTGTACTATCAGAAATCAATTTTTTTAGCTTGTTTGTAGACGTCTCCTTGCACAAGTAATTTTTGAGTCCGTTCTGTTTTTTTTCGCGTTGCTGTCGCTCGGCAGAAAGGAGCTGTTTTTTTCAGGTTATCTCAATCGATGAACTGAAGACGGATTATAAGAATCCCATAGAGCAGTGTAGAGGTCTGAACCAGGTAGGTGCTGCCTGCATTGGCTTTTTATTTGTATTTAAGGGTAAGCAAAAATGCGACTAGAAAAAGTAAAAAGAGGTGATGAAGTAAATAAAAAGAATGAACAAGTGAAAAAATAAGTGGAAATAATAAATTAGGTAAGAAATGTTTCGGTCCATTAAGTCGCATACATTTCTTACCTTTACCACAGTTGGACCTCGTCAGTACGACGGCTGTGGTAACCATATTTTTGGTAAAATTAAAGAATGATTAAAGTAAAAAGTAAAAAGAATTAAGTAATGATGATGATTTTGAAATAGAATAATAGAAGCATTAAAGCGAAAGTAGAAATAAAATTAAGAGAAGTATGAAAGTAAATGGGTATCACTGCTAATGTGTGATAAGTTTTTACAAAATTCCGACCCAGACTTATCATCTGCTGTGGATATGACATCGAACGAAAGCTGTGACGAAGAAAACGATGAAGCGGAACGGACTTGGCTCGTCTTTTTGTGATCACAGAAATAGTCAGTCTGTTCATCAGATCACTACGACCTCGCGGGAAAATACAGTCCGATAGACAAAGCATGTGACCTACCTTGCCGGCAGCCGGTGGACACCACATATTAGTGGATGGTACCTCCGAGAAACTAAGCGACCATTCTAGCTGCCCCTGAAGTTATTATACAAAGAACAGGCGACAGGTACTAACTGAAGGTGTATATCCCAGGCCTGGCATAGCTGTATATTTTTCATTAACATTACTAAAACACAATTCCTCTACCAGTTATTCGGGCACAGTCTCAGTATTTTCTGTAATATATGATAGGCTGAATGTCTGGGTGGGCGGTCTTGCTGATCATGGTCTGATGTACGTTAATC